TTTTTTTAAATCTGATCAGATCTGTCGAATTTTTACAGATGTAAAGGTGAGATTGGTTCTTATTTATCTCCTATGGGAGTGTTCTCACAGGATCCATATATGCTAATTTTCTAGTGAGACAACATTTTCTCATGAGACTGTGAGACACAACATGAATACACACTATATTTTTTATTTTTTTTTTGGTGCAAACACGCACACACTAGATTGTGTGCACTCATATTGTCAAAAAACAGGGATTTATATAGTTTTACTATACAAAAATAATCTCAACCGCAAACTTGTACGAAACTAACATGTTCGAATTTAATTATAGATACAAAATAAATAAAATGAAAAGAGGGTTTTATAAATTAGTATGGTGCGATATTAGTGCTGGTTATGGTGCAGGGTTATGCAGTGCTGACCCGAGGGTTTGTTGCGGTTGTGTGCAGTCCAATCTGGTGCAGTGGTGATCCGTTCGCGGCCTCGCGGGCGAAGTATGGACTTGCAAGGAGGTGCTCTCGTGGCTCAGGAATAAAGGTATTGAGGATGTTACTATTTTATCTGATTGCGATAATTTATGTAATGCCTTGTGTGGGGGGAGAAGGTTAGTCGGTCTTATTTAGGAATTTTGATATATTAGTGTATTCTGGTAGGCCATTCATTTAGTTCGGTGTCTTTCTCTTATGTTAATCGTTCTTTTAATACTGCTACTCATGTTCTAGCACAAAAGGGTGTTGAATTGCCCAATGAGGGATGGTGTACCGCATGAGACTATTGTTAATTTGTTTCTTATAGTGGTTTAATGATGCTATTGTGCTGGATGTTTCAAAAAATAGCATTAAACAATGGCATTAACATTTTAAATAAATTCAGATTTGTAACTTTTCTTAATAACAAATAACTTAATCTGGAATTCAACACAGTTGTTATGACGGTTAATTTTTTAAAAACAAATTGAAATTAATTCGAAATTAATGCCTAAGGATCAGAATTAACACTTCCAGAACGGTACTCCGAAGAGTACTTCTGGGGATCTTACAAGATCGATCGGGCTGGCTGGTTGGGAATGTAACACCCCCATTTTCAACACCCAAAATAGTTTCGAAAAAGGGCATACATTTATTTAGAAAATAGTGCAAAGTTGTGGAAGCAAAATAAAACAATAAAAATAAGAGTGCTACTTCCACACTTAGATAAGTACATATATCCAAACGCAAGGCGAAACCAACTCAAATTAAACCAAATAAGATTTAAGGCTCAAAAACATCCTATATATAATAAAGTTATATGGTCTTGTGAAAATTAAATGGTGATAATCAACATTTAATTTTCACAAGACCATAATAATATTGTTGTTAATTATAATAACAATAACAATAATAATAATAATAATAATAATAATAATAATAATGATAATAATTGCAATAATATATATATATATATATATATATATATATATATATATATATTTATATTTCAATTTCTACTGGCAAATTATTGTGCGAACGATTGTCCACATAATTGTATGGATCATGAATATCAAATACATTGTTAATATATTAAAAATACATTATTTTTATATTGAAAGTACCTTACATACATATATAATGTACCCTTAGTATATTTAAAATATACTTTTTATTGCATGCAACCTCAAAGTTCATAAGTTTGAAATTACTATATGGCATAGCTAGGCGGCCTAATATTTAAGATTGTTGATGTGAATATTAAGGACTACGGAGACAAAGATGCGTTATTCGTGGATTCATCGGATACTATCCAACAACACTCTCCAATTTAATTGACGTGAAGTAGGCTTAGTAACATTAAGATTATATTCTCGAATTTTTAGTTCTCATCTTTTATTGATTACACACTTAATTCGATAGTATTTTGAAGAAAAAATCAATGTTTGAACTAAGATTGTGATTTTGGTCTTTAAAGGTCAATTGTATGTTGCTATACCTAGAGTTAGAAATCTCAAAGGTCTAAAAATTGTGATCCGTGATGACTCTAAATTGTAATTCAATTACTATTGTATTTTACTAAGTTCTTAAAAATTTGTAATATTAAATATTATCTACTAAATTTTTAATATAGTTTAAGATTTGTAGTAATCACCCACCTTAAATATTATTTTAATTGTTAATATATTTATGTTCATAATTTTATCATAGGAATTCACACATAATAATTATTAAATAACAAAAATTTTATATATAAATAAACCTCATATAGAGTATATTTTTATAACATATTTTCCGTGCATCGCACGGGACAAATACTAGTTTTATAAATAATATCCCAACTAATGCAAAAAGCAAATAATACGAATCGAATCTAAACGAACTAATTATCCAATTAACTAACTAATATATAAATGATAACATCACTAGGTGACTCGCTCTCATGCTAATACTTTACTCACACCAAAATAATATTTTTCTCACACAAAAATAATATTTTAAAATTAATATATGCTACATTGGTTCCTTAATAATATATATTATATTTGTTTTATTTTATTTTGTTGACAGTATTTAATGGCGGAATTTTTTTTTTCTAATGTGATCTTTTCAAAATACAATCTTAAATAATGTTGAAAGAAAACTCCAAAATTTTCATTGTCGATTACCATGGAAGCTATTATATTGCGTTAAGTTCATGCATGAGTTATAAGATCGCAGTACGTAATGTTTGAATTGATAGTCTTAATTACAATTAAGTCCATTGGTGTAAAACTTGAAGAAGCTAAGGGAGAAGTTTCAAACCCACTTGAAAATGCTTTCACGTAAAATTAGGAAAAAAGTCTTCTAATGTTCCAATGCATGTAGGACAAAGCGTGAAAGAAAAGCTTTTGATCTTTAGACTTTGCATTATTGAAATTGCAAATTGATTGGACGAACTAGCTAGTGACATAAAATTCTTAATATTCTTTTATCGGATTTTCCATATCATTTTTCAAAAAAACAAGCTACTACAAATTGAGTTCATTGTGAGAAGCTCTCATACATCCCTGGGCTTCTTGATTTGCTCCCACAATTTCATCAATAGCTTCATTCTGATAATGTATCTTCAGTACAAAAATAATGTATCTTCTTCGCCTCAATTATTGCCTCCATGTATGTCAGCCCCATGCTGATGATGATGAACTTCAACTTCAACTTTCAACTTTCAACTTCTTCGTCTTTCTCTCTCGTATTGTAAGTCTAAACAAAATAAGTCAAATTATTGTGTGGACCATGAATATCAAGTACATTTTTAATATATTAAAAGTATATTATTTTTATACTGAAAATACATTATTTTTGTATTGAAGGTACATTATATAAAATAATGTATCCTTAGTATATTAAAAATGTACCTTATGTACATAAATAATGTATCATTAGTATATTAAAAATGTACTTTTTATTTCTCTGGTCCATGTAATAATGATTGACAAAATAATGTAAAAGCTTTTGCATTGTATTCTTTGGGTAGACAGAATTTAATCACAACTCAAATTCTCTCATTTTTGGAGGTGATTGGAAAGCTAGAGCTTTTGAGCAAAAATGATCATACCAAGAACTTTGAGAATTTTTTTTAAAAAAAATATTTTCATTATTTTCGATCACCCCATTGAAAGTTGTTGAAAATATCGACAATTACCAAATATCATAATTGGAATTTTTCTTTATTTGTTAGACGATTGGTATTAAATTATCTTGTTACCATATTTTGTCATGTTTATTATGCCCATACAAAGTGAGGGGATAAAATGGTTTGTAACATATTTTCCACATTAGTATCATCAAACACATACCAAAGAAATTGATTGTTTTACATGAATATGAAATATAATTATTGTACAATTTTGATCTCTATATTAGTATACAATTTTAAAGACAAGAACTAATTTATTTTTTTACTACCTATTCACAATTGAGATATTAAGTATTATTTCCTAATATTTATTATTTATGGTTCACGTATCATTTTTTAATAGGATTTTATCTTTGACATCGCATAAAGTAATAAATAAGTCTTAAACAATATATACAAATTAAGTGTTTAAATTCATAGCAAACGTTAATCATTTTATATTTATAAATTAAATTACTTGTATAATAATCAAATAAGGTTGAATCACATATTAGCGGGAACGGGGAGCGGGTCACACGATTTAAACCTTGTACAATTGTACTTCAATTCATTTTTATTTCCTAATAATAATATGTATTATTATGGTCCATATATAAGTTTTTAATACGATTTTATCTTTGACCATCACATAAAGTAAAAAATAAGTCTTAAACAACATATACAAATCAAGCGTTTAAATTCGCAGTAAACTTTAATCATTTTATATTTATTAATTAAATTACTTGTAATCAAATAAGGTTGAATCACATTTTAGCCGCGGGATCGGGAATGGGGTCACAAGGTTTAAACCTTGTGCAGTTGTACTTCAATTCATTTTTATTTCCTAATATGTATTATTTATGATCCACGTATCAGTTTTTAACATGGTTTTATCTTTGACCATCACATAAAATAGTAAATAAGTCATAAACAATATGTACAAAATTAAGTGTTTAAATTCGTAGCAAACGTTAATCATTTTATATTTATTAATTAAATTACTTGTAATCAAATAAGGTTGAATCACATATTAGCGGGATCGGGGATCGGGTCACAGGTCGGGTTTAAACCGTGTATAGTTGTACTTCAATTCATTTCTATAGGTATTATTTATGGTCCACGTATTAGTTTTTAATTTAATACAATATTATCTTTTACGATAGAATAAAGTAGCTCGCAGTATACAATACAAATAAAGTAAATTACCATAATGGAGTATAGGTTGATTGTCCCAAGTCATTTTATATGTTAAGAAATAAAGTAATAGTAATTTCCTAAGCCAGCTTAATAATCCTATAAATATGCTTGTGTTATAAGCCTAGGAGTAGAACATAATATAAAGTAGCAAATAAAATTAAAATTGTGATATCCTTGAGAATCGAAGGTTAGCTATGGCGAGAACAAGTAGGGGCAGGCAAAGGGTTGAGATGGCAAAGATAGAGAACAAGAGCCATCTTGAAGTCACGTTCTCTAAGCGCCGCGCCGGACTTTTCAAGAAGGCCAGTGAGCTTTCCACCTATTGCGGCGCTGATGTTGGTATTATTGCTTTCTCGCCGTCGGAGAAGGTTTTCTCGTTCGGCCACCCCAGTGTGGAAGCGGTGGTGGAGAGGGTTCTCGGCGAGAACAACCCTGCGCCGCCGGTTAACGAGACCGGCGGCAGGGTGTTGGCGGCGACGGAGCAGTTTATTAAGGATCACCGGAATGCAAGGGTCCAGGAGGTCAACATGGAGATTAGGCGGCTAGAGGCCATATTTGAGTTTGAGAAGAAGAGGGGCGAGGCCATTGATGGAGCTGTGGAGGTGAATCGTGAAGCTCATGGATGGATGAGAGATTCTTACGATGATCTTAGCTTCCAGCAGCTTGTAATTCTGAAAACTGGAATGGAAAATCTGATGAAAGAAATTCACCAGAAAACTCATCATCAGCTTATGGCGGTGCATGGAAATGGCACGCCATTTAACACATATGAAGGTGGCGTTTTCCTCTCTGGGAATATGGTTGCCGGGGACCTAACTTCTGCATTTAACTTTGGCACTAGTGGTGGCGCCGCCGCCAGAGCTCTTCCTTTAACTAGTGGTGTCCCTGGAGCTCATCCCTTCACTAGTGGTGGCGTCGCTGCCGCTAATTCAGTTTTCCCTGGTTCTAGTTCCATGCCAAGCGGCAATAATGCAGTCTCTCCATGGGTTTCAGGCACTAGTGATGCACGTGGTAATCTTGGATGTGACCGCCCATTTTTCTGAACATTATATTATGACAACCTTTTTCAAAAATAGTTTCGCATGGCACAATGCCATAATCCAAAATTCTAAGGATGTCGTCGAACCAATATTTTGTTTTGATATTATTTACTTATTTTATCTAGTATTTTGATATTTTGTTATGTTTCAATCCATTATTACAATGTAAGGTATTCTAAAAATTTTTAATGAAGTTTAATTTATTACCTACAATATAATCCAAACTAGATTGTTTATTTATGTCATAAAGTTTATATTATTGTCGATATATTTGATATTTAATTTTTAATTTAGTAATTATGGATATATACTTTCTTCAAGATACCATATTAAGTAAGAAAGAATTCTCCAGCCAAACTTGTTGGGCAACGCACCAATGGAATTCAGATTTTAGCTGATCCACCTGTTGAAGTTTTTGGTTTTTTGGAGGACGACTTAGTAGGTGTTCCTTCTGAGCATTTTGTATATAATGCAGTCTGACTCCTTTTGTATTTTTGGGGTGTCCCCTTCCAAGTAATAAAAAATAAAAAATAAAAAGTAAGAAAGAATCCAAATACCAAACTTATAACACTAAATAATAAGAATGATGCCTTAGTTTGGATTAGAATTTAGAAAGATTATTTTTTTCTTTTTCCTTAAGATAAGATTAAGATCTTATTTAAAAAATAATAATATGGAGCATTATAAAAAGCGAGCCCGGATGCAAAATCATTTTTTTTTTATTATTTGTAGGCAAAGAAACAAGAAAATCACATTATTTACTCAATTTTAGATCTCAATCTTGGAAGACCTAGATCATCTTAAAAAAGAATTGACCCATACAAATTCGATGTACTCAATTCTAGATGTCAACCTTGGAAAACCTAGATCATCTTCGAAATGAATTGACCCATACAAAGTCGATCAAATTAGGAAGCAATACATTTACAAGAAAATACATCCACAACTACTATGTCATGTTCTTGTAAAATATGCACTAATTTGATTTTCCACTAGCTGCTATCTCCCTCTTAACCACACATCTCCAAGAAAATAAACAAAAGTTTATGAGGGAGAACACCCTTTTGCCAACAATGTGGGCCCTCTTTTTGAATCACACAAGTCAACCCAAATGTGACAAAATCCTTGCTCTCATACAAGCTAGACATTGGCGCCTTTGCTTAAGTGAAGCCCAGACCTCCACACTCTAGCGTATATTATAGATTTATAGGTAATCTTTCCACACTTTAAATCTTGCTTACCATCAAGCAAGAATTAGAATCGGACCTCAAGATAATGAACATAATTCCAAATTAAGCAAACAATAGTAACCAAATTCCAAATGACTCAACCAAGAGAGTTATCCAATCATGGGTTAAAGACTATTATAAATAACCTTACACTTAATCATAACGAAGTAGCTATTGACTATCCATTTTAGAAAAAAGAAAAAAAAAACTCAAAGGAATTAACTCAGATCACACTTGAAATGCCTAAAGCAATTTAAAACAATAAAAAGGCCACTTCTTGAGCACACAACTGATAAGTGCATAACTGTTCATATTTATATCCCATATTTAGTCTTATTTTGCTTATGATATGTTATAATAGTGTTTAAAATGATCCTCATTTTATTTATTTGATCAATTAGGCACAATTAATTATCTGAGTAGAAGTGAATGATTTGGAGCATTTTGGATATATTTAGAGTCAATAGGAGCCAAATATGAAGCTATGGAGTTCGATGCAACCATTCCAAAGGAGGCTAAGAGTGGTGTTTTTAATGATCTTAGTCATTTAGACAAACCAAAATAAAAGAAGAGCAAAAGATAAGGCATTGCAATTTTTGCTCATCTCGATCATTTGTTCGGTATTTGCACCATATCTCAGCCTAGGAATGTCGGAATGAAGTAATTCTTGTTTCATTAGAAAGAAAACTCGAATGGCTATAACTCTTATGAAGATCTCAAAGCAAAATTCTGAAGTCAAAAAGGGTCCAAATCAACCTACAAACTGAATTTGCTTTGTAAAGAGATCCTCGATCGATCGACGGGTCGAGGCTTGGCAGAAAGGTCCGATTTTCATTCTATAAATGCTCGATACGTCGAGCCCCCAGATTTGCAATTTCCAACTACGAACCTTGCTTCCTATTTAAACATAAATTAAGCTTTATTTACACGATTCTGACCCATGGTTGAGTTCTAGCCATTTTTAGTCATTATTCCTTTTATATTTTAGATTTAGATTAAGGTTAGCTTTAGGTTCCTTACCACTTTTGAAGCTTGAATTTCAAGATTGTTCCCTCATTTTCAATAAATAAGTTCTCCTTTTTGTTATCTTTTTTTTTTTTTTTTTTTTTTTTGCAAGATTCTTATAAAGTTGGTAGTATACAAAACAAATAAAGTAAATTATTAAGGATGGACCAAAACCATAATGGAGTATAGGTTGATTGTCCAAGTCATTTTATGTATTAATAAATAAAGTAAATAGTAATTCTCAAAGCCAGCTTAATAATCCTATAAATATGCTTATGTTATAAGCTTAGGAATGCAAGGGTCTGGGAGCTCAACATGGAGCTGACGCGGCTGGAAGCCATATTTGAGCTTGAGAAGAAGAGGGGCAAGGCCATTGATGGAGTTGTGGAGGCGAATCGTGAAGCTCATGGATGGCTGAGAGATTCTTACGATGATCTTAGCTTCCAGCAGCTTGTAACTCTGAAATCTGGGTTGGAAAATCTAATGAAAGAAATTCACCAGAAAGCTCATCATCAGCTTATGGCGGTGTACGGAAATGGCACGCCATTTAACACATATGCAAGTGGCTTCTTACGTAATCGCACATTCCCTTGTCTTATTACTATTGTTGGGCTTTGGATGTTTTAATCAATTTATCTTATTACCGTTGTCTTACTTACCTATCTTAGTTTTAAACCAAGCACATGAATCTAACATTCCCAGCAATCTAACATTCCCCAAGGTAATCTAACATTTCGTGAACCAAACGCCCCCTTAATGCGGAGGTTATCTGACATTCCCTAGAAAAGTTACATAACCTGAACCAAACATGGGAATCTTATATTACCAAGCAAATATAACATTGGTTATGTTATATAACATGAACCAAACGCCCCATAAAGGCTTTTGCATTGTACATTGTTTGAGTAGACAAAATTTCAATGAGTTGTGTTAGAATTTCATCACAACTCAAATTCTCACATTTTTGGAGGTGATTGGAAAGCTAGAGCTTTTGAGCAAAAATGATCATACCAGTAACTTTGGGAATTTAAAAAAAAAAATATTTTCATTATTTTCGATCACACCATTGAAAGTAGCTGATAATATTGACAATCACCAAATATCATAATTTGAGTTTTCTCTTCATTTGTTAGACAGTTGGTATTAAATTATCTTGCTACCATATTTTATCATGTTTATTATGCCGATACGAAGTGAGGAGATAAAATGGTTCGTAACATATTTTCCACATTAGTATCACCTAACACATACCAAAGAAATTGATTGTTTTACGTGACTATGAATATAATTATTGTTCAATTTTGATCTATTTATTACTATATAATTTTAAAGACAAGAACTAATTTATTTATTTACTACCTATTCGATTCCAATCGAGATATTAAGTATTATTTCCTAATATGTATTATTTATGGTCCACATATAAGTTTTTAATAGGTTTTATCTTTGACCATCGCATAAAGTAGTAAATAAGTGTTAGACAACATATACAAATTAAGTGTTTAAATTTGTTGCAAACGTTAATCATTTTATATTTATTAATTAAATTACTAGTAATCAAATAAGGTTGAATCACATATTAGCGGGATCGGGGATCACAAGGTTTAAACCTTGTACAATTGTACTTCAATTCATTTTTAGTTCCTAATATGAATTATTTATGGTCCACGTATCAGTTTTTAATACAATTTTATCTTTGACCATCACATAAAGTAGTAAATAAGTCTTAAACAACATGTACAATTAAGTGTTTAAATTTGTAACAAACGCTAATCATTTTATATTTATTAATTAAATTACTTGTAATCAAATAAGGTTGAATCACATATTAGCAGGATCAGGGATCGAGGATCAGGTCACATGATTTAAAACTTGTATAGTTGTACTTCAATTCATTTCTATTTCCTAATATGTATTATTTATGGTTCACGTATTAGTTTTTAATACAATTTTATCTTTGACCGTACCATCACATAAAGTAACTAGTAAATAAGTCTTAAACAACATGTACAAATTAATTGTTTAAATTCGTAGCAAACGTTAATCATTTTATATATTAATTAAATTACTTGTAATCAAATAAAGTTAAATCACATATTAGCGGGATCGGGGATTGGGGATCGGGTCACAGGATTTAAAACTTAGCTTGTATAGTTGTACTTCAATTCATTTCTATTTCCTAATATGTATTATTTATGGTTCACGTATTAATTTTTAATTTAATACGATTTTATCTTTGACCATAGCATAAAGGAGTATACAATACAAATAAAGTAAATTACCATAATGGAGTATAGGTTGATTGTTCTAAGCCATTTTATATGTTAAAGAAATAAAGTAATAATAATTTTCTAAGCCAGCTTAATAATAATCCTATATATAAATATGCTTGTGTTATAAGCCTAGGAGAACATAATATAAAGTAGCAAATAAAATTAAAGTTGTGATATCCCTTGAGAATCGAAGGTTAGCTATGGCGAGAACAAGTAGGGGCAGACAAAGGGTTGAGATGGCAAAGATAGAGAACAAGAGCCATCTTGAAGTCACGTTCTCGAAGCGCCGCGCCGGACTTTTCAAGAAGGCCAGTGAGCTTTCCACCCTCTGCGGCCCTGATGTTGGTATTATTGCTTTCTCGCCGTCGGAGAAGAAGGTTTTCTCGTTCGGCCACCCCAGTGTGGAGAGGTGTCTCGGCGAGAACAATCCTTCGCCGGTTAACGAGACCGGCGGCATGGCGTTAGTGACGGAGCAGTTTATTGAGGCTCACCGGAATGCAAGGGTCCAGGAACTCAACGTAGAGATTAGCAGCTTGTAACTCTGAAAATTGGGATGGAAAATCTTATGAAAGAAATTCACCAGAAAACTCATCATCAGCTTATGGTGGTGCACGGAAATAGCACGCCACTTAACACATACTCGCCGGAGCTCATTCCTTCACTAGTGGTGGCGTCGCCGGAGCTCTTCCTGTCACTAATGGTGTCCCTGGAGCTCATCCATTCATTAGTGGTGACACCGGCACAACCACTTCAGCTTTCCCTGGTTCTAGTTCCATCACTTCCATGGCCGGTGGCAATAACGCAGTCTCTCCATGGGTTGCAGGCACCAGTGATGCACGTGGTAATCTTGGAGCTGGCCGCCCATTTTTCTAAACATTTAATTATGCCAATCTTTTTCAAAATTAATTTTTGCATGCCACAATGTCATAATATAATTCAAAATACTAAGAATGTTATATTATCTAGTAGTATTTTGATATTTTGTCCTGCTTCCATTCATTATTACAATGTAAGGTATTCTAAAAAATTTCATTGAAATTCAATTTATTACCTACGATACAATCTAAATTAAATTGTTTATTTATGTTCAAAAGTTTATATTATTGTCCATATGTTTGATATTTAATTTTTAATTAAGTAATTATGGACGGATATATACTTTCTGTTGGGTAAAATAGGTGCGATGAATACCTGGAATGGATATTTGCGACGTGTTGTTGCTTCGGGACAGAAAACCAGCAGCGTTCTGTGTCGTGTTTGGCAACACTATCTTAAAGATATTTAATAACGACAGGGTATCGTTATATCTCCGACAGATAACACAGACGGAAGAAATAGCTTAAATGAACGCAGGGTGGTGTGTTGTGAAATATGGCTATATTGCCGTGTGTATGTAATGAAGGGGTTATTGCTATTTATAGCAACTTTCCTTTTCTTACAACCAATGCCCAAAATTAGGCAATGCATGGCCCTCATTAATAAAACCAATCCTGACCACAACATATATTACGCAAGTGGTGCTGGCCACTTGTGCTGTTCGAATATATGTTGTGTTGATCCATAAAAATAGGAAAAGAAGACCAAGCAATAAAACTGAGCCATATCCCACACCTCGCACGTGTGCCGAGCGGCGTGCGGGGTTTTTCCCTTGTTCACTCTCCATAACACTTCAAGCCTTCTTTAGGGAGTTCAAATATATAAAGGAAGGAAAGCAAAGCTAGCAAAGCAATGTGGGACATTCAATTTAAGTAAAAGACTATTAAATGAGTTCCCACTTGGAGCCTTGTCTTGCCTTTGAATGTTTCCCAACAATCCCCCACACATTCGAAGGTGTAAGGCTTGACGGAGAACAGCTGAGCTTAACAAATAAGAGCTAACTTTCATGTCAGTGTGTTAAACTTGAACTGACAAGTAGTGGCACCAAGTAATCCACTATCCGAGAGTGAACAGAATCTTGAACTCTTCGGCTAATTGAATTTTGAACTTATGTGCACCTCGTTAGCTCCACTTGTTGTACACTTCGTATAGTTATTGGATAACCAAGTATAAGCCCTGTTTTGTCTGTCTCAGCACAGACATTCCACTCCACCGAGTGTACTCTACCGTTGACTGCCAACGGCGTGCGGACTGATTTACAGTCTGCTTATAAATGCGAGTCTTTCCATGATTTCGTTTGACCACCGAGGTGGTGTCCATCATGAATTTCTCACCTCATTGGCTTTTAAGCCCATTTCCCTTGATGTATCAAGGATAGCCTTTCGATTTAGGCCTTTCGTGAAAGGATCAGCTATATTCCTTTCAGATCTCACAAACTCCATTGTGATTACCCCATTCAATATTAACTGCCGTACAGACTCATGTCTGACTCTAATGTGTCTTCTCTTTCCATTGTAGACACTATTTTGTGCCACACAAATAGCAGTTTGAGAATCACAATGAATGGGTACGGCGGGAACAGGACTCCCCCACAGCGGCACGTCTGCCAACAGATTTCTTAGCCATTCGGCCTCTTGGCTAGCCAGATCTAAAGCTATGAACTCTACTTCCATAGTTGATCTGGCTATGCACGATTGTTTGGTTGATTTCCAAGACACTGCAGCTCCACATAGTGTGAACACATATCCACTTGTAGAGCTGACATCATCACTGTCGTTTACCCAGTTCGCATCACAGAACCCTTCTAGCACAGCTGGGTATCCTTTGAAGTTGAGACCCCAGTCTAACGTGCCTCTAAGATACCGGAGTATCCTTTTTAGTGCGTCCTAGTGTGGACCACTTGGGTTATGAGTGAAACGACTAAGTTTATTCACGGCAAATGCAATGCCGGGTCGGGTATAGTTCATCAAGAACATTAGACTCCCAATTACTTTTGCATATTTCTCTTGAAACACACCTGACTCCATGTTCTTTATTAGTTTGACACTAGGATCGTAAGGAGTCTTGGCCGGAACAACATCAAAATTGTCAAACTTCCTCAGAAGTTTTTCTGTGTAGTGACCTTGGGATAGAAGGTAACCTGTATTGGTTTTTGTGACTTTTATCCCGAGTATCACATCGGCTTCTCCTAGATCCTTCATTTCAAACTTTTGACATAGAGTTCGTTTGGTTTCATTTATAGCCTCAATACTTGAGCTAAAAATTAACATGTCATCCACATAGAGACATATTATTACAATGCTGGATTGGACCTCTTTTGAGTACAAACAGGCATCTGACCGATTAGTCGTGTAGCCTAGGTCCATTAAGGTCTTGTGAAATTTTTCATTCCACTGCTTGGGGGCCTGTTTTAGGCCATAAAGAGATCTTTTTAATTTACATACCTTTCCTTCTTGCCCTGGATCAACACAACCAGGTGGTTGTTCCATGTAGATCTCTTCTTCTAATTCACCATTGAGGAATGCAGTTTTTACATCCATTTGGTGAACTATCCAGTTGTGTAAAGAAGCCAATGCAAATAGAACTCGAATGGTTCCCACTTTTGTCACTGGTGAGTATGTGTAAAAATAATCCTCACCGAATCTTTGTGTAAAGCCTTTGGCTACTAGCCTGGCTTTGAATCTTTCAATAGACCCATCTGGTCTAAGTTTTCTTTTGAAGATCCATTTGCAGCCAATTGGCTTGCACCCTTTGGGTAGTTCTACCAACTCCCAGGTGTGGTTGGACTGAATAGAGTCCAATTCACTTTTGATTGCTTCTTTCCACAAAATGGAGTCGACTGACTGCATTGCTTCTTTAAATGTTTTTGGTTCTTCTTCCAATACTAATTGGCACACAAACTGATCACACAGTTCGTTTAAATCTTTCAGTTCTGTGACATATGTTATGAAGTCAGAACCAAAATTCTTTTCTATCCTGGGTCTTTTGCTTCTTCTGGGCTCATCCAAATCGTTAGTAATGCGAGGAAAATTGGCATTATCATTTTGACACAGAGTATCAACTGGTGAGACATAAGCATTTTTTAAAGGAAAGATATGTTCAAAGAATATTGCATTTCTTGATTCACACATAGAACGGTTTTCTAGACACATAAACCTATATGCTGCACTATTCTCGGCATATCCAACAAAAATAGCATCAAAGGTTTTGGGTCCTATGTTGGACCTTTTCAGGGATGGTAGACCCACCTTAGCCAAGCATCCCCACACCTTAAAGTGTTTCAGGTTCGGGGCGTGCCCTTTCCACATCTCATAAGGGGTTTTCTCGAACCCTTTATGTGGGACTCTATTTAAAATGTGGTTCGCCGTTCGAACAGCTTCCCCCCACATAGAGTCTGGTGCCCCAGAACTGATCAACATTGCGTTAATCATGTCTTTAAGGGTTCTATTTTTCCTTTCAGCGATGCCATTTTGTTGGGGAGAGTAAGGTGCGGTTACTTCATGGATTATACCCGAAGTTTCACATAAGGTTTTTAGCGATAAAGATTCATACTCTCCACCTCTGTCAGAACGAAGCCTCTTTATTTTCAAGTTTAACTGATTTTCTACCTCAGTTTTAAAAATCACAAATTTGTGTTCAGCTTCATCTTTTGTTCTCAAGAGGTATAGTTTTGTAAAACGAGAATAGTCATCTATAAAAGTTATATAATACCGTTTTCCACCTTTACTTTCAGTGGTTTTAAAATCCGCTAGATCAGAGTGAATCAATTCAAGTATAGATGAAGTTCTATGAGTTACCGCAGAAAATGGCTTCCTAGCAAATTTTGCTTCAGCACAAGTTTCACATTGGGAGCATGCATCATTAGACAAGTTTGGCAACATATTCAGGCTTTTTAATCTATTTAAGCACTTTGAGCCAACATGTCCTAATCTACCATGCCACAAATTAACTGAAACAGTAATATAAGCCGAAGGGGAAGCATTATTCTTATTGATAGATTCTGGTCCAATTACAGATATGTCTAACACAAATAATCCCCCCGTAGATACCCTTTTCCGAGAAAAGTCCCACAGCGAGTCATAACCAATCGGTCTGACTCAAGGACAATTTTGATCCCGGCCTTATTAAGTAGGCCCCCGGAAATTAAGTTTCTACGCAGAGAGGGAACATACAACACATTGTTCAGTAATAACTTCTTGCCAGAATTAAGCAATAACTCTACTTTTCCTCTACCACTTACCTCAGAAATGCTGGAGTTGCCCATGAAGACTTGTTCTCCTCCAGTGACGGGCTCGAACACCTTGAAAAAGGACTTGTTGTTGCAGAAGTGACGAGATGCCCCCGTGTCCACGACCCACTCGTCTGGGTCTCCGACCATGTTAATCTCAGTAATCACTGCTGCTACGGCCTCGTCATCCTCCGTGGTTTCTACCACATTTGCTTGATTTTTGGATCCGTCCTTCTCTGAATTTTTATTTGTGGACCCTTTGCGATGATAGCACTGTGCAGCTCGGTGTCCACGTTTCCCACAAACATAGCACTCGTCGCCCTTTCCCTTTTTATGAATTTTTCCACTTTTGATGCGATTGTTGTTATTTTTCGCATTCCTTTTTTGATTTTTATTTTGATCACCTTTTTTATGCCTATCATCTTTTCCTGTAGT